CCCTGGGGTACTTGTCTTCTCTGGGTCTTGCCTGTAAAACTGGGACTAATCATGGCATCTAAGCTCTTCCAACAGTGTCTAGCACATAGTAGTGGTTCAATGAATGTTGTTCGTTGTTAGCTGCCATCAAGTCGGCCCTGACTCATGGTGACCCCATGCACAAAGGAACTAACCGTTGTCCAGTCCTGTGCCATCCTCATGAAAACTGTTGTAATCTATAGGGTTTTCATTGGCTGATTTTTGGGAGTAGTTTTCCAGGCCTTTCTTCCTACTCTGTCTTAGTCTGGAAGCTCTGCTGAAACCTGTTTAGTATCATAGCAGCACACAAGCCTCCTCTGACAGACAGGTAGTGGCTGTGCATGAGGTGCATTGTCTGGGAATCGAACCCAGATCTCCTGCATGGAAGGTGAAAATTCTACCATTGAGCCACCATTGCCCCCTCATAAATGTTAACTGTTATCATTATAGTTGGTATGCACCTTCTGGTGAAGGATGATACAAGCTTTGAGTTCCTCTTTCTCATTGTGGTAACTCTTTCTCTTGTTACCTCAGTTTCTTGCTATAATCCCATCTCGTATATCTTGAGGGATTTATATTCTAGTGAAACCGGATAAGCTAAGTAACCAGCCCTCCTCTCCTGGGTGTGTTATCTTCTCCTTCTTCAGCAGGCAGCCTTAGTCACATTTCCCAGGCACCAAACTGCTAGATTTTTTTTGCTCGCAAAGCAAGGCCCTCCCCTCCATGGGGATTACAAACAGAAGTGGATCTGGGGCTGGATGAGGAAACGCAGCAGTGCATGGTGGAGATTCACATGAGAACAAGGTAAAAGCACAGCATTACTAGCAGTGCAGCTACTTTCACCGGTAATGATGATGTCCTGACTAGCGCAGTGTGTTGGCCTTGGTGTCAAAGAGCCTGGATTTAACTCCCAATTCTTCATTTTGTAGCTGTGTGAGTAATTTCAACTCACTGAGCCTCTGTTTCCTTATCTGTAAAACGAGAAAGAGTCTGAAGTTCTGTGATGATAATGCTTGTAATGCTATGATAAAGCCAGTTACTGTCGCGGAGATTCCAACTCATAGTGACCCTATGTGTGCAGAGTAGAACTGTGCTCCATAGGGTTTTCAGTGGCTGATCTTTTGGAAGTAGAAAGCCAGGCCTTTGTTCCAATGCACTTCTGGTGAACTTAAACCTCCAGCCTTCAGGTTTGTGGCTGAGCACTCAACTGTTCACACCACGCAGAGATCTCGAACGCTATGCCACGGCCGTGGAGCTAGCACTGGCTCTCATGCGTCGGACTTTCATGTAATGGGAAGTTGGCATGTATCTTCTGCCCCCTTTTTTTTTTCATTTCAATAGAAACTTCTTGTGTGCTTGATTTTTATGGGTTTCTCTTTCCCCATAATGCTGGAAAATACCGAACATCTCAGTACATGGCATGGAAAATGAGGGGAGGTGGGAAGGAGGCCTGGGAAGACAGGTGTTTGCAGGGAAGGTAGATGGGGGGAGTTGTGGTGGGTGGTGTGGGGGTGACATTGGTAAGCACGGATTAGCCACTGCAAGGTGCTGATCCTTATTTGTTTTCTTTTTTAATGTGGCTGCAACCCTAAAATATTATGGAAGGGAAACTTAGAAAAGGATAGTCCAGGAGGATTAGGTTCTTGCCCAAGATGATTCTTGGGTCTTCTGGAAAAGCAGCTGCAGCGACGGAGAGAAATGGCAAATCATCAGAAATCATGAAGCAGGTAGGGGCAGAGAAGTGCATCCACCCTCCAGCCAGAAGGAACCAGAACAGCTTCTATTTCTGCAGACAAGTGCCTGAGTGGAAGAGGTTAAAGCAATCTGAGTGCATCTGAGTTCATTCCTGAAGGGTGGAGGCATTCAGTGCTACAAATGAGGCATTTGTGCTGGGTATTTTCCAGGCCCTGCATGACTGCTGGAGGCCCTTGAACCGCTGAGACCCAGGGATTCTTCACTTGATCTCTCACGGGGAAGAGGGGCAGACAGAACTTTTACCCAAAGCAGCTGCGTCTTCCCACGATGAAAGCACTGGTTAGAGGAATGCACGGCGCAGCTACACCCTCACCCTCAGGAAATCTGCCGGCACATCCTTGTTCTTCTTGTTTGATCCAGGGAAACTGGGATTTCTTGTTGGAAAGAACAGGCTGCTCCTGGCTGGGAAGAGCCTGCAGCTGCACTCTTTGCTGGAGAGAGTCATCTGCCCTGGAAGAAGGAGGCTTTGACTTTAAGGACTCACAGCCGCGGAGGTGGGCTGAGGGGCGGCTGAGGTGCAGTGGCGGCTTAGATCCCCGTCAGCGCTCTGTCTGGTCTAGCGTCCTGCTGGGACAGAGTGAGCTCAGGACTCTTAATCCACACATGCGAGACCCAGGGAAGGCTGCTTCCCTTCTCTTTGAGCTCATTTTATCAACCACAGACGTAGGTCAGTAGACAAGATGTTCTTTGGAGTTCTTTCCACTCCGAAGGTTCATCGTTCTGCGTGTTCCTTTTATAACCTAGAGGACGAGAAGGGCAAGCATCCCGGATTGGGGAAGGAGCAGAAGGCTTAAGGGAGTGATTCATCAGGGTTCTAGTTGAGAATTAGCCCCTCCTCAAAGGAGGAAACTGAGGCCCTGAGGAAAGAAGTGAATTGCCCAGTCACACGACTACCTAGTGATGGGGCTAATCCAGAGTTTTAGGCTTTCTGATTCTTGTTCCTCAGCCATGCCTCTCTGACACAAGGCTAGTGGTGGGTGTGCGTGGAATCCCGGTGGCAATGCAGTGTGCTCCCCCAACTCTCCCTGCAGGCTGCAGACACCGGAATTGCAAAGACTTCCACCTCTGTGGGGCTTCTATGCTCTAGGGACCGGGGACATATGGCCCCATTGCCCACTCCTCCTTCACCATGCACTGCGCGAAACTTCGTCCCTTGCTTCTTCACCTCAGCCTCTTTCCCTCCATTCACAAGCTGGTCTGTGCACCCCACAATCGGTCCCTCACCAGTCGTTCCCTGCACTGTAGCTGCTGTTTTCCAGGGTTCAGAGCTCTGTGGGAGGAGAACTTTCTGGGAGATTGAGCCTTTGAAGTGGGAGGGGTTCTGGGTAAGAGAAGGGCATTTGAGGTCCCCCTGTGTGGGTCACAGTGGAAGAAGTGAGATGAGCAAGCCCAAGATCACAGGCCACGGATGGGTGCACACTCCACCTATATTCAACTCTGGGGTCCTCTGGGTTCATCTGATCACCCTCTCCCTTCTGCTGCTGGAATAACTGTTCACTCATTAGGAAGTGTGACTATCACCTGACTGTGTGAAGCCAAGTGCGACTGCTCAGGTGGCAAACTTCTGAGTGCTTTGAATTAATTTTTGCTGATTTTCTGTACTCTGACCACTTTTCCTCCTGTGCCCCCGGCCCCCACCGGCTCTGCTGCCCACCCTTCCCCCACGTCAGCATGTGTGTGTAAATGCACACACACACTCACGGTCCCAAGGAGAAACACGATGGAGAACAATGCTGTACGTGTGTGTTTATGTGGACACCTTGGCTCCCCCTCCTGTGCACTAACTCAGGAGTTGCTGTGATGTGGCGGGCATCGAACACTGAGCATGGCACCTTGCAGAGCCCGAGTCCATGTTTCTGCATGGCCTCTTAGCTGTGTGACTTGAACCGCCTTGAGCATGTGTTCCCTTGACTGTGAAAGGTGATAATAGTCGTAACTTCAGTGGGGTGTTGTGAGGATTAAATCAGGGAATACATGTAAGGTACATGCACAGTAGAAGCATTTAATACTTTATGGCTATGATTACCTATGCTAGGACCCTTAGTCTCCACCTTGGAAAAATCGTGGTAATCATAACGCCGTTGTGAGAGTTAAATGAGGTGATACACGTTCTAGCTTCTTGTAAACTGTACATTTCTCTACAATTAAAGGTGGAGATGCAGTGAGGAGAATGCTACCACCACCGACTCAACACATCCTCTCAAGAGGAGAAGAGTGTGGACAAGCATCTGATCCTATTTCCATCTCCTAGGCTCCTTACGTCTAGATGCTGCTGGTTTATAATGCTCAATAAACTCTGAGCTATCCACCCAGCAGCCCCATCCTGCCCTTCTGTATCCCCTGAAAATTCTTCCTGCCAGAGTTTACTGCTGGAAGCCCAAGGTTCTGTTTCAAGTTAAGCTTCAGTACAAATAAAAGGACCTTCTGCATAGGTGGAGTCCTGGTGGCGCAGAGGTTAAGAGCTACGACTGCTAACCAAAAGTCTGCAGTTCAAATCCAGTGACTGCTCCTTGGAAACCCTAGGGGGCAGTTCTACTCTGTCGTTAAAGGGTCACTATGAGTCAGAATCAACTTGCTGGCAATAGGTTTTTGGTGTCTGTGTAGGTCACAATTTATCTTTCTTCTTAGCAGCCATGGAAGCTGTGGCCCCTTGAGCTTCTGTAGCCATTAGTCTGTCTAGATGGGGGCTTGTCCCTGCTCCAGTTTGCCTGGCATGGAAGGTTCTGGGCTGGTGACTCTTTGGCTGAGAAACTGAACTTAATTCTTGGTTGTCCCAAAGGCAGTTACTCCAAAAGGGCCCAACTGCCCACAACTACTCTGGATGACAAGTGCCAGCCTTCCACTCACACTGGCTCAGCTGACTGCCACCAGGCTCTTGCCCAGCTATGGGCTTGGCTGTTCTTCTGCCTTGGAAGGCCACTTCTATATAAAGGAAGGGCCCTTGTAATTTACATTTGTACTTGATAGTTTCCTCCCACAGGTCCACCCTTGGTGGATTCGGGCAGAACTTTCTCAGTGAACCACTGAGGTTCATCCCGAGGCCTCCCCCCTCTGCCTGGGTTGCTTCTGTGACTCCCCACAGTCCCTAGGAAAAGGGCCTGGTGGAGAGGCGCTGGCCTGCTTGGGGCTCCTGAGGCCAAGTGGGACTCTCTGGTAAGGCATGTGACCGCCCTCAGGCCCTTCTGCTGTCGTCTCTAATGTCTGGGCTGTGCTCCCCACCCTGGCAGGACCTGTGTGGCGCCACCACCTGTGACACACTGGGCATGGCGGACGTGGGCACCATGTGCGACCCCAAGAGAAGCTGTTCTGTGATTGAGGATGATGGGCTGCCATCGGCCTTCACCACGGCCCATGAGCTGGGTGAGCTGGTAGGGGGCCACGGATGGAGGGAGGGATTCTCCTCCAGGGTTTTCACTGGGTACTCAGGGGGCCAAGGAAACATTTGCCTTTGCTGCCTCATACTCTGAAGCCTGAGGGATCCTTTCTTGGGCCGGGATCTGCCTTAGCAATAGCTTTGCTTTCTTCTCTCTGACTGCCCCAGCCCAGGTGGCCAGGGACATTGTCAGAGCACCTCTGCCCTCATATGGCCCCATCGATTAGGTACTATGCAGAGAATACGTGAAAGAAAAGAGAAGCCACATTGCTGTCCTCATCGTTTCCACAGCCTGATAGAAGGGACAGAACACACGAGGAAAGGATTTTGAGACATTTGCAAAGCAGTCAATTGATAGGTGGAAATGTTCAGCCTGATGACCCTTGACTTGGGCTTCTTGGCTCGCGCCCCACCCCCTTGCCTTTTCTTCTTATCCTGGCCTTCCTGCCCACTGAGCCCTCTTGCCTCACCCCACAGGCCACGTGTTCAACATGCCCCACGACAACGTGAAAGTGTGCGAGGAAGTGTTCGGGAAGCTCCGAGCCAACCACATGATGTCCCCAACCCTCATCCAAATTGACCGGGCCAGCCCCTGGTCAGCCTGTAGTGCTGCCATCATCACTGACTTCCTGGACAGCGGGCACGGTGAGCCAGGGCGACACAGAGGGGAGGGGCAGGCTGGAGGGATCTGCTGCTGTCACTGACGGCGGCTCTCGGCCCCTCTCTGGACCCATACTGTGTGTAACCCCCGAGAGTTGGGCTCCAAAATGGGTCCATTTCAGTTGTGCCTTGGTTCATTCTCTCCCTATCCTGAGATACTGGTTTAGCCTCACCTTGCCAGGCCCCCAGTAATGACCACCCTTGGCTCTCTGTTTAGGTGACTGCCTCCTGGACCAGCCCAACAAGCCTATCTCCCTGCCCGAGGACCTGCCGGGCACCAGCTACACCCTGAACCAGCAGTGCGAGCTGGCCTTTGGTGTGGGCTCCAAGCCCTGCCCCTACATGCAGTACTGCACTAAGCTGTGGTGCACCGGCAAGGCCAAGGGGCAGATGGTGTGTCAGACTCGCCACTTCCCCTGGGCAGACGGTACCAGCTGTGGTGAGGGCAAGTTCTGCCTCAAGGGGGTCTGTGTGGAGAGACACAACATCAATAAGTACAGGGTGAGTGCTGAAGCCTGCATGGGGGGCTGCGGGGAGGAGGGCAGCAGACCTCGGCGCTCTCCGCTTCCTTGGTCTGCAGGGACCCTGTCCCGTCACAGATTGCTGCACTGTGCCTTGATTTCCCTGTCTGTGGTCCTAGCCCCTTCCTAGCTCTGAGGGCTGGAGAGAAACGATAGGGCAGGTCAGAGAGCTGGTCAGGCCTTACACTCATGGGCAAGTGCCCTCGACAGAAGCAGGCTCTCAGCCCTGAGCGCTGTGCCTGTCTCACCTGGCAAGGTGCTCTGGCCCTGAAGCTGAGTGCTCAGTACTCACTGGCTCCTTGGTTTGTTCAGACATCTCTGGGTGTGCTCCGCGGGCGAGGAGCTGTGGACCACACAGATGATCAGGCTTGGTTCTGGCCGCCAGAGAAGTTTCAGTCGAGTTGGGGAGCTTCTAACTGGGATCCGAGCTGACATGAAGCAGAGCCCTGAGCAGACTTTTATCATTGGTTACATGTTGTTTTCAGCTGAAACAAAAGCAGTTTTTCTTGATAAATAGAAATAACAATCAACCCAAAATATATTCAAGACCCCAGGTATTCTCTGAATATAATAAAGACTTTATATTCTTCAGGTCTTAGGTTTGGGTATAAAGGGGTTTGCGATTTTCAGATGGTGAGAAGTCCTCCATTCTCCTCCTTGATCTTGGTGATGGCCCCCCTCCTCCGATCCCCACCTGCAGGTGGAGGAGGACTTGGCCCCGTGTTTTCTGTGGTCAGAGACAATATTGTAGAAAAGCATTTACTAAGCACCTTATCAGTCGCCCTGAGATGGGTGTGGTACAGAATGATTTAAAATATTTTTCTGTGCTTTGGGAATCTATACTTAAGTAAACCTTCAGATGTTACTAGGCAGCAATCTGCTGTGTTCAGGTTACTGTGTAAGATAGTGAGGTGGTTAGAAAAAGAAAGAAATCATAGGCCGTATCTCACAGGGCTCACAGTTTAGTGGGGAAGCTAAAAATGTATGATAGCATACAGGAAGACCCAAGGAGGAATGAGTTATGACGGAAGTATGAAAGCTATCATGAGAGAACGGGGGATGAGAGATTATTCACGACTGTTGTTGTTGCTACTGCTGTCACCTCAATTCCAACTCACGGCGACCCCATGTGTGTCAGAGTAGAACTGTGCTCCATAGTGTTTTCAACGGATAATTTTTCAGAAGTAGATTGCCACACCTTTCTTCTGAGGTGCATCTGGGTAGACTCCAACCTCCAACCTTTCAGGTAGCAGCCGAGCACGTTAATCCCTTGCACCACCTAGGGACTCCAATCATGATTATAGGAGTCTGAAAAAACTTTGGTGAAGAGGTGGGATTTGAACAGAGCCTTGAGGGATGAGTAGGATCTCAATAGGCAGAGATGGAGGAAAGGGCATTCTAGAAGGAGCAAATGGGAGCAGTGGTGGTTCAGTGGTAGGAAACTTGCCTTCCATGAGGGAGACTCAGGTTCAATTCCCAGCCACTGCACTTCACGCACAGCCACCACCTCTCTGTCAGTGGAGGCTTGCGTGTTGCTGTGATGCCGAACAGGTTTCAGTGGAGCTTCCAGACTAAGATGGACTAGGAAGAAAGGCCTGGTGATCTACTTCTGAAAATCAGCCAGTTAAAACCCTATAAATCACAACAGTTTGATCAGCAACCAATCATGGGATGGCTCAGGACCGGGTGCTTTTTGTTCCATTGTGCATGCGGTTGCCATGAATTGAGGGCCAGTTCGATGGCAGCTAAAGACAACCACAAGCAGGAGTAAAGGCAGGAGGCCAGAGATGTTCCTGGGTGGGTCTGAGGTGAGGGCTGGGAGATGAGGGGCTCTACTGGAAACAACTTTGGGAAGGTATTTGGGGCGAGACTGCATCACCTTGACTGCCAGGTGATGAGCTTAGATTGGAAGGTCCTGAGGACAGGTGAGTCAAGTGAGTGTCTGCTCTTGGGAAGGAGAGTCTGGAGGGTGAAGATACTAGTAAAGAGGATGTGGATGTAGGAAATGTGGTCTGAGAAGAACCGTCTTTCCTCTTGCTTTCTGGAAGTCTCAGCCCATCATCAGCAAAATCTACTCTATCCTCACCTTTTTCTGAACATTCCTGTCACCGTCTTGTTTTAACTGAAATCTGGCTCTCCTCAGAGGGTTCTGCCCTAATTCAGCAGGGTCAACCCACAAAGCTTATCCTTAGTCATAATTGCTGCCCCCCAACACCCTCAGTTTTCGGCATCCCACTCCCTGACCACCCAGACCCTCTCTTCCAGCTCACCCCCTCTAGTTTTAGACCCCAGCTATTCTTCAACCCTGTTAGGACCCTACCCTTGACCCTACCTCATACCCTTCTCATGTCCTCACTTCCCTCTTTACTGAGCTGAGATTCCATCCACTGTTATAACCACTTCTCTGCATACACTCTTAAGTCCCTTGCCCCTTTGCCTCTTCGTCATACTCACTTGGATAAGCCACCACCCTGGTTGAATCTCACTTTCTCCCCTACTTGATTATGCCAGCACAGGTGAATATGTCTGGGAAAACACAACCATGCTTACTTGTCTCAGTTGAAGTTCATGACCTTGAAACTTACCTGGGCCCCTAGTGCTGCCCAGCGGTCACATTTTAGTTCCCTAGTCCATTCACTCTCCCAATCTCCTAGCTATTATTTCACACCTCCAACTCTTTCCTACTGTTGCCAACTCTTTCTTCCTCATTTTCACTTTTGCTGGTGACCTTTCTACTTCACTGAAAATAAAAAGAAGCAGTTGAGGAATCAGAAGAGAACCTCCACCGGCTCCCATCACTACCTCCACCATCCTACCTGCATCTGTACCACACCTACCTGCATCCTGAACATGGGTGAGCCACCCTTGCCCTTACCTGGGCCATGCTCTGTGCTTTGCACTAGAATACCATCCCCCCTTGTCTATTCAGGGAAATCACTCTATCAATTCTCCCCTCTCTCCTGCAGTTTTTCTCTTCTCTTGAGTTGAAGCATTTCTATCAGGAAACAAACCTGCTGTAATTTCTTCTGTCTTGAGGAAACATTCACACAATCCTACTTCCCTTTCATGTATCAGTCTATTTCTCTGACCGAGTGTACAGCAAAACTCCTTGAAAGAGTTGCATAAACATGCTGTCTCCAATTCCCCTCGTCCCGTCTCTCTTGAATCCATTTCAGTCAGGCTTTCACTCTCATCATTCCTCCAAAATAACTCTTATTAAATCATCAAATGGTTTCTACTTTGCTAAATTCAGAGAGTAATTATCATGCCTCCTATTGCTTGGCCGATTAGAAGCATTTGACACAGTTGGTCACTTTCTTCGCTGGGAACACAGTCTTCATTGCCTCTTGACCTTCCTCCTCCTTTGCTGGTTGCCCGTTCTCGGTCTTGTTAACTGGTTCTTCCTCATATTCTCATTTTCTGAAGGTTGGCATGCTCCAGGGCTCATCCATAGTCCTCTCCTCGACCCATGCTCAGTCTCTTTGTTGATTCCTCTAGACCCATGACATTACACCCTCTTTGTATGCTGAAGACGCCCACATCTATATCTCCGGCACAGACCTCTCTCCTGAGCTACAGACTTGTGTGTCTAACTACACCTTGACATCTCCATTTGGATATCTAAAAAGCTCTGAAATATAACAGCTGTACAACTGAACGTTTGCTCATCTACCCTAAACCTGCTTCCGCTGCAGTATTCCCCCATTTTCGTCAACGGCAACTCCTTTTCCAGTTGTTCAGGTCAAAACCCTTTTTCTCTCACACTCCACAACTGGTACATCAGCAATTCCTGTTGACGCTATCTTCAAAATATGTCCAGAATCTGTTTCTCACCACCTCTCCTGCTGTATCTGGTCCACGCCTCTGTCTGCTGTCACCACCACCTCTCGTGAATTATTGCAATCACCCCCTAACTTACTCCTTACAGACTGTTCCCACCACAGAGCCAAGGGTTACCTTTTTTTTTTCAATTGTTGTGAAAATATAGATAACAAGACATTTGCCAATTCAACATTTTTCACGTGTGTCAGGGGCACCAAATACATCAATCATGTTGTGCAACCATTACCACTATCTGTTTCCAAGGGCTCCTTTTAAAATGTATGTCAGAACATGTCGCTTCTCTGCTTAGAATAGTTTTGGAGCTTTACACCTCACTCCAAGCGACAGCTCGACCCCTCAGTGGCCTCCATGGCCTGTCTCTCTGACTCCATCTCCTGCTTCTCTCCTCCTGCTTGATTTGCTTCTGGGACACTGGAAATCCCAAGTATGTTCCCTCCTCACGGCTTTGCTCTTGCTCCCCTGCTTGGGACCTCTGCCCTCATATCTGCACAGCTCCCTCCTGCACTTCCTGTAGGTCCTGTTCAAATGACCCCTCAGCCTCTGTACAGTGGCTCCTGACCCTGCACTGCAGAGCAGCCCACCCTTACTGCAGCCGCGTGTCCCTCCCCTGCCTTTAACCCCACCCAACAGCCTCTATGCACTATTTGTTTCTGATGGTCTGTCTTCCCCACTAGGATGACATCACTTAAAGGCAGGAACTCGCTTCAGGTGGTGCCTGGCCTGTAGTAGGAACTCAACAAATGTTTGTTGAATGAATGAGTGAGTGAATAGCCCATTGAACATATTTTGTATGAATGGGTGGGAAGAAGTGACACCAAGGTAAAAAAAAACCCACATAGTCTCAGGAGCCCCAGGAACAGTGTAAGATACTGAAGACAGCATGGAGAGAATGGGGCCCAGGCCCAGACTTCTTCAGTCTTTGGACACAGAAGTCGTTGCTGACTTTTGGGGGAGCAGCTTCCATGGTGCCGTGGGGACAAAACCCTTACTGCAAGGGATTGAGGAGTCAGAAGGTGGAAATAGCAAATATTGACGACTCTACACCTATGGGACAAAAGGAAGTAGGGCTCTGATTTGAGGAGAAAGCAGGGTTAAGGGAAAGTGATTTTTAAAGGATAACACCAACTTGCAACAATGAAGCAAAAACAATCTGATGTGAGAACAGATAGAATAAATATACTGAACATATACACAAGTTAAAGTATTTATGCAACGTGCAGTCAGTTCCTGATTAGCTCCATGTGGCTTATTCACTTTATGGATTATTGTGACAGACTTTTAATCCCAGGCTTGTCCAGTGAGGCTGCTTCCTCTATTGCCCAACTAATGTGTGTTTAGGGAATGAAAACTCACTTTACTGTCATCTTAAGAAAAACATAATGAAGTCTATAAACTTTCTATTCCCTCTCCACCCTCTTAAAAAAAACACAACACTGCATAGTTCACCAAAGCCAAATAGAGTTTTACAATTGTTTAGTAATCTGTTATCTATATCTCTTCCTAACACAAACATTAGAACCACTTACAGGAAAAGTCTCTCAAATTCATCCCTTGATTGAGATTAAGATCTGTCTGTCTTGGTGAAAAGTCTGAACGATAGAACATTTACAAATAAAAATATTCAGATACCTACGGTTACATAAGATCTCTGGGTGAATCAAATGGTTTGCGCTTGAATACTAACTTAAAGGTTGGCGGTTCAAACCCACCCAGCCATAAAGATTACAGCTAGGAAGACCCTGTGGAGTGGTTCTATGCTGTAACACATGGGGTCGCCATGAGTCAGAATTAACTTGATGGCGACTTTTTTTCTTTTTTTTAATGGTTACATAGCTTATTATTAGAAAGGATAGGGGCTGGCCAGACCTTAAATTTAGAGACTCTTGAAAATACACTAATAAATAAATAACAGTAACTTTGAATTTCTGCTCTGTGGCAAGCATGGTGCTAGGAATTTTCAGGCATGTTTATATCAACTTCAGACCTGAATATTTTTAGCTCCATTTTTGCAGATGAAGCGCTTGAAACTTAAGAGGTAGCTCCTTGCTCAGGAATGCCCATCTGGTAAGGACAGAGCTGGTTGTAAAACTTGTCAACCTGACTCTATAGCCCAATGAGCCTCTTTTGTCTCTTCTGAGCTGCCTCATCTATAACTAGGAGAAACTCATATTTGCTAATCAATAAGTTGAAATGGAGCCCTGGTGGTGTAGTGGTTAAGAGCTCAGCTGCTAACCAAAAGGTCAACAGTTCGAATCCACCAACTGCTCCTTGGAAGCCTTATGGGGTAGTTCTACTCTGTCCTGAAGGGTTGCTATGAGCCAGAATCAACTCGACGGCAGTGGGTACGGGTCGGCTGAAATGCTGTGTGGGCTCTATGCACACTGATAATTGGCTCATGATTTTCCTTTTCATGATAACACAGTGAATTTTATTCCAGTGGGATGGGAACTTGGATGTATGGAGGCTGGACCAGTGTGGCTTTTCTATAGGCTAAGGGTGCTGGTGTGGAACCCGGGACTCCTGCAAGAAAATAACAGATCTTTTCTCACAGGTGGACGGCTCCTGGGCCAAATGGGAGCCTTATGGCCCCTGTTCACGGACCTGCGGTGGGGGCGTGCAGCTGGCCCGCCGGCATTGCGGCAACCCAGCCCCTGCCAATGGGGGCAAATACTGCGAGGGAGTGAGGGTGAAATACCGATCTTGCAGCCTGGAGCCGTGCCCCAGCTCAGGTGAGGAGGGCTGGGCAGCAGTGGCCTGGGCACAGGGGAGGCGAGGCTGGGGATCAGCCCTCCCCAACACCCGTGTGACCACAAAGTGCCTGCAGTCAAGGTTCTAACCTCTAGGGCAAAGCCTGGAAAGGGAGCATTGCAGAGACCTCTCAGGATTGTTCCTCTGTCTGCTCATCGTTGGCCGAGGTGTTTTCCCCTGGCTGGTTAGACTGCTAGAGTCAAGGCATGAGACGTTGGCTGTCCTCTTATTTAAGTACCGACAAGCCCATCTTCATAAGCAGGAATTCTTAATCCAGGGCCCATGAACTTGAGTGGCGGAAGAATACATCTCTCTTTTTACCAACCCCTTTATCTAAATTTCAGTATTTCCCTGAATTAGAAATGCAGGCTACAGTAGTAGTAGCATTAGTATCCGTGACTGTCACTGGTAGGAATCGTGCCTATTTTTATATTACGTTTCAGTTGTTACAGATATCTCAGAATGGCATCTGTGCTCCTCACAACTTCAAAATTACAGTAGTTACCAGGCTCATGACTGAATCTTGTTATTTAGTGCATTAATAAAGAAGCCCATATATCACAAATATGCTTTAAAATATATTGATGGTTGTATATCAGTATAATTACTATTATTTATAATCTTATGTAAGTTATTTCATGCATTTGGTTACATTAAAAATAGTTCTGCTACACTGCTGAAGGGGTCTGCAGCATAGACAAAGTCTAAGATACCTGTCACAGGGGAGTTGAAGGCTAGATTGTGGGAAGGTGGCGCATTGCTCGGGGGCTGCCGTATCACCCGTATGCTGACCCTTTGGGGCCAGCCTGCTTTAGTCCTTGGAGGTGGGGAGGCTGTGGCTTCCGTGAGAAGGATCACAAGTCTCAGGGTGGGATGAGCTGCCTGGAACCCCAGGGAAGCTGGCACCCCTGGGAGGGATGCTCTCCTTTGCCCACCTTTGCCTACCCACGAGCCCCTTCCTATAGCTTCTGGTTTTGCTTTCTCCTTCCCCAGCTTCTGGCAAGAGCTTTCGGGAGGAACAGTGTGAGGCTTTCAATGGCTACAACCACAGCACCAACCGGCTCACCCTGGCTGTGGCCTGGGTGCCTAAGTACTCAGGCGTATCTCCCCGGGACAAGTGCAAGCTCATCTGCAGAGCCAATGGCACTGGCTACTTCTACGTGCTGGCTCCCAAGGTGAGCATCTGGGCAGGAGGCAGGGTGGGGCTGGGGCTCTGGGGGACCCTCCAGCTGAGCGCCCCTCTTCCATCTCCCCCGGCACGGCATGGCACTGCAGGTGGTGGACGGCACTCCGTGCACTCTGGACTCCACCTCCGTCTGCGTCCAAGGCAAGTGCATCAAGGCTGGCTGCGACGGAAACCTGGGCTCCAAGAAGAAGTTCGACAAGTGCGGGGTGTGTGGCGGTGACAACAAGAGCTGCAAGAAGGTGACAGGAGTCTTCACCAAGCCCATGTGAGTTCTGCGCCCTGGAGGGGGCAGGCAGGGAGCAAGGGGAGGGACAGTGAATGGGATTCCTCCCAGGCCTTGGGAGCCTGGACGAGACTGAGATAAATGCCAGATCCTGGCCAGTGCCTTTGCTGTGGAGGCCACTCATGCCTTTCTAGGGCTTGTATGAGCTCACTCATTCATTCATTCACTCATTCAACAATGATGGATTAAAGACTAATGCTCAGGGTGGACACCATTTAACAGAAGATGATAGGGATATGGCAGGCAGGACTGGTTAAGAGTTAAGAGTCAGTCTGTCTAGATTTCAGGTATAAAACAGACCTGACTTCAAATCTCAGTGCACCATTTTGTGGATGATCTTGGGCAGGTGATACAATCTGTACAGTTCTAGATTTCCTCACCTGTAAAGTGGGCATAACGCTACTACATTTCATGTAGGGCTGTTGTGAGGATTAAGTGATCTAATCCAAGCAACGTGCTTAGCATTGTACCTGGTGCCAAGCACATGCTCAATAAATGTTAATGATGTTAATGAAACATGACTATAACTGGAGGCCACCACCCTGTCCCCAGGCCGGAGGCCCTAACCTTGGGGACTGGGTCGAGGAGAGAATGGCAGTAAACTGCAGAGATGTGAGCGGCTAGGACTGAAGGGGATTCCCCTTCTTGGGGAAACATACTGGGATCCCGTTGAAGGTGACCATTTCTGGGGCCTGTCTATTCTCCTCTCAAGCCTGGAGCTCCCTAGCTCTGATGCTGAGCACATTCCTGTTCACTGTTAGGGGGATGCACTCCTTTGAAAGTCCTGACCCATTTTCTGGAAGAAGGTGGGGCAGGCAAAGCCCCTGAGGTCTCAGTTGGCGGAGAGGTTATGGAGTCCCAGATGCTGATGACTGGAAGGCTAGATGGTCGTCCAGGAAACTCGGCTCTCACTCCTCAGCTCTCACCTCTGCTGAGCCCCTAGGTCCTTATCTCAGGAGCTTGGGCACTGCAGGTGGATGGTGTTCTAGAATGTTCTTTCACAAGGAACACGGGGGTGTTCAAGTGGGGAACTAAAAGTAAATACCGCCAGACCTCCTTCACTGATTAAGTAGCAAATATTCCATTCTAAGCCTGGAAGGAGCTGTAGAAATCATGTAGTCTAGCTCACTCACTGCACAGGTGAGAACATTGAAGCCCAGAGAAATTACCTCGCTTAAGCTCATACAGTGAGTCGGTCTGAGCCAGGGCTAGCTCTCCATTTCTCAGCTCCAGGGCCACTGCTGGCTTACTACAACAGGCTTCCTAGCCTTGGATTCAGGCAGTATGGATTTATCTTGCCCACCCCCCAATCATCATAGCTAATATTTATTGAGTGCTTACTGTGGGCCAGGCCCGATGCTAAATGCTTTATGTGCTTTAGCTTATTAATCCTTATTACAAGCTAATGCGCTATGTGCTGTTATGATGTCCATTTTACAGGTGAGGAAATGGAGGTCGAGAGAAGCTAAGAAACTCATCTAAGAGCAATGCTAAGCAAGGGGTAGGGATCTGACTGATCCCCAAATCTGTGCTTTTAGTTCCATGCTAGAACTCACCAAAGGATGAATTTACTGAAGAAAAGAGATCACGAGGCCATGTAGGCAGCTCGTTTCATTTTAGACTGTCTGACGACATGGAGTATACCAGCCTTCGTTGGTGCGCTTTGCAGGAGCTGATGCAGCCTGCAACAGAGCCTGGGAACTCTTTATACTCTGCCATCTGGTGACCCAGCCCCAGGGCTTGTGATAGGGGAACCCGTTATGAGTGTACAGGGGAATGACGTCTCCTGTCCTATGTCCGGGTGTCTGTTTAACACATACCCCCACCCCCCCTTTTCCCAACTGCAGGCACGGCTACAATTTTGTGGTGGCCATCCCTGCAGGCGCCTCCAGCATTGACATCCGCCAGCGGGGCTACAAGGGGCTGATTGCGGATGACAACTACCTGGCCCTGAAGAATGGCCAAGGCAAGTACCTGCTCAATGGGCACTTTGTGGTGTCTGCTGTGGAGCGGGACCTGGTGGTTAAAGGCAGCCTGCTCCGGTACAGTGGCACGGGGACCGCGGTGGAGAGCCTGCAGGCATCACGGCCCATCCTGGAGCCCCTGACTGTGGAAGTCTTGTCCGTGGGGAAGATGACGCCGCCCCGGGTCCGCTATTCCTTCTACCTGCCCAAAGAGCCCTGGGAGGACAAGTCCTCCCACCGCAAGGACCACCGGAGCCCCGCCGTGCTGCACAACAGTGTCCTCAGCCTCTCCAACCAAGTGGAGCAGCCAGACAGTGGGCACCCCGCTCGCTGGGTGGCGGGCAGCTGGGGGCCTTGCTCTGTGAGCTGTGGTGGGGGCCTGCAGACTCGGGCAGTGGACTGCCGTGGCTCCCTGGGGCAGCTCTCAGGCTCTGCCTGTGATGTGGCCCATCGGCCGGTGGAGACAAGGGCCTGTGGGGAGCCCTGTCCAGCCTGGGAGATTGGGGCCTGGTCACCTTGCTCCAAGAGCTGTGGCCAGGGATTTAAGAGACGTCCGCTCAAGTGTGTGGGCCAGGCAGGGCGGCTGCTGGCCCGAGACCAGTGCAACCTACTCCGCAAGCCCCAGGAACTGGACTTCTGCGTCTTCAGGCCATGCTGAACAGGACCACCCCTTTTTCCCCTCACTCTCCGCCCCACTGGTGCTGCCAGCATCTGGCCAGCTGGAATGGTGGGCAGTGGGCAGCTGCCAGGTGCCCACCCAGATGCCGCCCACATCCAGGGACAAGGATCGTGGACCAGGGTGTGAGGGTACCCGCTTCCTCCCTTGCCTAGGCAGGGGGCTGCTGACTTCAGTCTACCTCATGCCCGCTTCTCTGGTGCCCGGCGTCGGGGAGGGCTGAGAGGTGCATGCACTGGGCAGAGGCATTGAGGCCCAGATTCAGAGTGGCCTGGAGGACGGGCATCTCCCAGGCAGAACTTCAGGGACCATGGCCCCCTCAAGGGAGGCCACAGGCTGCTGGAAGAGCCATGGCCCGGCAGCTTGGCACCCTCAGGTGGCCTCAGAGGCCCTTAGGCCATCTCTGAACAAGACAGGTTTTTATGGTGCTTTCAGTCCACTTCCCTTTTCTGACTGACATAGGAATGAAAAAACAAAAACTGGCTGGAGAGAGAGGAAGCTGACTGGAGGGGAGAGTGGGACTAGTTATAATTGGTGCCTAGACCACTACCCCTTGGTAAGGAAGGGGTATGTGTGCAGAGGGAATCCTGAGGTTTCTCCTGTCCCTTCTACTCTCTGCCTCCCTTAGGGAACCACCGTCCTCTTCTTGGGATGTCCAGAATATCATGATGTGTAAGAGAGCTTTCCCTTGGGTGCTCTCTGTGGCTGTGTAGATAGAGGTAGAAACTCAGTAGGGACCCTGTGGTCTTCTGCAAGAGGGATCAGGCCATTAAAATAAGATGCTGGAACTTACAGGGGTGATGGACTCTTTGGATGAATTGGGGAGTCTGAGGAGAGCTCCCTACGGCCTGCTGTCACTGGGCCTGGGTGGGAGTGACCATCGAGCTCCAGCCCTGGCTTTGGGATGCCAAAGCCAGGTCTCACCTGGAATGCCTCCAGGTCATCTCACCTTGTGAGAAGGAGGCTCCGGTTCTAATGGCTTCTTCCTCCAGAGAGCACACGTAAGGCTGACACTTTTGGCTCTGTGTCACCTCAGAGAACCTTCGGAGTGGCCACAAGCCTGTACCCACAAAGAGGGGAGAGGGACATGTGAGAGGCCTAGGAGGGCGAGGGGCGGAACACCCACGTGCCTGCAGACTCTTCTTCACCCTTACGGCTTGGGGCTGTCTGGCCCTGGGCGTATATCACTCTGCAGCCCCAGGCCTTAGCTTCTCTAGTTGGAAAATGGGGTTCACTGCTACCTCAGGTTATGCTCTCTGGGAACTGGACCTTATCCCTCCCCAGGGGCAGTGGTGACCTGGTGCTTCTGCCAGACCACGTGTCTTGCTTCACAGATTAAGCCGCCCAGCACAGAGAGAGTTGCTTAATGCATGCTTTCCTGCTCCCTACAGCTGGGCCATCTGCTGGAGGCCACTCTGGACACAGAATCGCGTTTTTCGTGTTCCTTGGGGGAAGGTTCATGGAAGCACCAAGAATAAATGGCCTGACCCAGGGGCCCTTGGTAGCCGCCAATCGGGAAGTGCCGGAAACTTGTCTGTCTTAGAGATATGTTAGGGGAGTAGCAACCAGGGCATTTCCTAGAGCTCCAAGTGGGGAAAATATTTTGGGGTTAGAGACTATTTGGCCAAGCAGAGTATTCCTTGAGGGTACAGTTGCTCTGGCATGTATGTGGGACATTTTGTTTCTAAGTGTAGGTAGTGAGTTCTTGCTGTAGGGAGGAGTTTCCAGGACCTCAGTGGAGAACTGCAGTGGGGTGAGATCAAAGCAAGTGTCTTTCCTGCGGAAAGGGGTTCAGGCCTTTTATTTGGTTTTTCCTTAATAGTCTGAATCAATGATCAACCAGCCAACCAACCAACCAACCAGCCAACCAACCAACCAGCCAACCAGCCAACCAACCAACCAACCACATTAACCAGCCAACCAGCCAACCAACCAACTAATTAACCAAGCAAGCAGGCAAGCCTCTGGGATTGCCTGAGTCCCAGTCACATGGTCTGAAGCCCCAGGAGAAAGCTCCCACAGGAGGGCAGAGGTGTGAGGTTCTCTTAGGCAGGGCTGCAGTCACCCTTGAAGAGCAAGGCGAGGAGGAGGTAGGGAGTCCTCCTACTGACGCTGGTGACCATTGTGGGGCCCGAGGGACAAAAGGACCCAGGCCACCAGTGCAGAAATGGGGCCTTGGCAGCTGACGACAGCACTGCCCTGTGCTTAGTGTGTTCTCTCCAGGAGAGGAGAGGGTGGCACGGGTGCTGTGCAGGATGGGCAGGGAGGGGCGGGTGGGGGGACATGCCTCAGTGGGACTGACGGCCTCCAGCAGAGCGGCTTTAACTGTCAGTTACTTTACAAGTCATTTCAAGGAGGAACAAACAGCCTTTTCCTGACACAAGCCAGGCCTCAGTGCGCTTTTCTGTCAGTGATTTTTCCCTTTCAAAAAAGAAGTATGACCGAGACAATGTGAGAGGTTTGTCTTGTCTTTGAACATTTTGCTGATCCAGCTGTGCTGTCCAGGCCGAGCAAAGACTCAAGGGGCAGGTTTCTGGCGGTGGGATAACAAGTTAGGATGGTGTCTCGCATCACAGAAGGAGGACACTCTGGAGGCTCCAGCAACTTCCTTAGTGGGGTATGGGCCAAGAAGGACTTGGGCTCAGGCCCTTCTGCTTCCTTTGCCGGTCGTGTGCACTGCCTGGAGGAGCGTGACCCGAACTCTCTGCAGACCTTGTCGTGCTGGGGTGGGGGCTGGGAGGAGCTGAGGACAGTGTGAGGGACGTTAATGCCCCCCCGCCTGGGAGTGGCCTCCCAAATGTTCAGACACTGTCACCTATGGGTCTTCCCCCCTTCCCCTTTCGTGTTTGCTTCTTTTGCATTCCATCTGCTGCAGAAGGACAGGAGAACGGGGGTGCTGGCTGGCTGTGTATACTGTGTATACAAGGGGTTTGCTGCCGTGATGAGAGCAGCCTGCTCCTAATAAAGTGGTGTCTAAAACCCGTGTCCTGCCTCTGTGACCTCATCCCATCCACTCACTGATGAAACGCGTTTGCTTAACACCCGCCACGTGCCAGTGTGTGCTGGCTGATATGGATATGGCAGGGTCTAGGAGAGATTCCGGTGGCTCCAAGTAAACAGGCAGACAAGCAAACAAAAGACTAACTGCAGACTGAGGTCAGCGCTAAGAAGAAACAAACCCGAGGCTAAGACAAAAAACACTTAGGGATGCGTGCGTGCGTACGTGCGTGCGTGCGTACGTGCGTGCGTGTGCGTGTGGAGGGGGTTGAGTGACCAGGGACAGCCCTCTCAAAGAAAGCAGCAACTACCCTGAGCTCCAGGATGAGGTGGAGCAGCCTCTCAGGGGAGGGAGCATGCATAGGCATGGGGACCCCGGCCTCTATGGCTGTCCTGGGGGGAGAGGGGAGAGCGTGGCACAAGGAGAGGCCAGAGGGCCATCATGCAGGACTCCCAGGCACCTGTCTTAGGTTTCCCAAGGAAAAACTCCATTCTGTTTGGAGAATGTGTCTAATCTTCCTCCTTCTGGCTCAGTCCAACAACTGTAGCAAACACCCAGGCCAAGGAGGGGTGTGATGTATTTGAAAGACACCAGACTAGGAGGCCAGAAACGTGAGTGTTGACCCCAGGTCCGAGGTCTTCTCTCGGAACCTCATTTCCTATCCGCAAAGGCAGAAAAACACCATTTGCGGTCAAGTCGATGCTGATCGACCCCATGTGTGTCACAGTGGAACTGTGCTCCACAGGGTTTTCAATGGCTGATTTTCAGAAGCAAATCACCAGGACTTTCTTTTGAGGCAACTCTGGGTGGACTCGAACTGCCGACCTTCCGGTTAGCAGCCGAGCGGTAGCTGTTTGCACCACCCAGGGACTCTGCAAAGTGAGAAAGTTAGATTTAATGTTCCCGGACAGGGCTTCCAGCTTTCTAGGCACAATTGTGGCTTAAACTTTGGTTGATGACTCTTTGGTTTCAGGTTGGGGTTTCAAGATCAAAGGGCTTCTCTCATGTCCCTCCTCCAGAGCAAGGCTTGGGGGTGAATGGCTTCTTTGGGAGCCAGCAGTAGACTGAGAGTGACTCCTCGAGGTATACAGGTGGGATCCAGAGCAAAGCTTGGTCGAAGCTTTAGCACATGATACAAAGTCCCGGTGGAAGAAGGAGCAAGCCAGAGAGGCCAGGAAGGGGCCTGGAGGACTTTGGGTAATGTCTCAGCCAGAAAGGCAGCAATGTAAAGTCTCTGTAAAATTGTTCAAAACGTGGTGAAATTCCTGGGGTTGTTATTTTTAATATATGTATGTATAATACATATATAAATATATACTATATATATTTTATTGTGGTGGGTATACATATAACAAAATTTTTATTATTTCAACAGCCTTCACAGGTACAATTCAGTGACATTAATTATGTTCATCGTGTTGCTAAACCATCACCACGATCCATTTCCAGATTTTTCCATCCCCCGTAACAGAAGCTCAGTGCCCCTGTCATGGTTTGAATTATGTCCCCCCAAAAATGTGTGTATCAATTTGGCTGGGCCATGATTCCCAGAATTGTGTGGTTGGCCTCTGTTTTGTGATTGTAATTTTATGTTAAAGAGGATTAGGGTGGGATTGTAACACCATCTTTACCCAGGTCACATCCAATGTAAAGGGAGTTTCCCTGGGGTGTGGCCTGCACCACCTTTGATCTCTCAAGAGATAAAAGGAAAGGGAAGCAAGCAGAGAGTTGGGGACCTCATACCACCAAGAAAGCAGTGCTGGGGGAAGAGCGGGTCCTTTGGACCGGGGTCCCTGTGCAGAGAAGCTCCTAGTCTGGGGAAACACTGCAGAGAAGAAGGCCAACAGAGAGAAAAGCCTTCCCCTGGAGCTGATGCCCTGAATTTTACCCTACTTTGACTGTGAGGAAATAAATTTCTCTTCGTTAAAACCATCCACTTGTGGTGTTTCTGTTACAGCAGCACAAGATGACTAAGACAGCCCCC